ACCAAGCAGCACCAGGGAGGACGGAGAGCCATTTATCCTGATCCCTAATGTTAACCTCAGACCCCCGACCCAAAGACCCCTGGTGGCGCAACCCGGAAAAGCCGCGGGCGGCAAGGACTGACGCGAGGGGGGTACCTGATGCGTCAAAATTGGACGCAAAGGGACCTTTGAAAAACGTCAATATGTGACGACTCGGGAGTGAGAATGTGTTGGATATTGCCCCTTTAAAATCTATGACTTGTATGTAAAACCATTTAAAAAGCTTCAGCTGGATGATTTTGCCTAATTTGACATGAACACAAAAGGCTGTGTTTATTTTCTGGAAGTTTCTGGCTTTCCCGAGAGTGATTTGTTGTGTAACATACAACATAATTATCACAGCCCGATTAAGATACAGAGCTGCAGACACACACTTGCACAGCGTGAGCTCCCACCGTTCATTCTTAGAAGCCTTCTGCAGCTCGTGGATTACCGTAAGAGTCTTTATTTAGCTCTGCCAATCCTCGTTAGGCCGCTGTACACACACACAGGTTGTGTGTCAGAGCGTGTTTGTTTCAGGTGATGACACCGCGGCAGAGAGCGTGGATTATAAGGAACGATGCTGCCCATCTGGCAACAGGTTCAACATGCGTTACGCGACACATTTAAAAGATCTACACGGACAGTTATTAAGAGCTGAGCGTCAAATGAAATGGCTGATGTGTTCAGAGTGCTAGCAGAAATATTGGCTTGTCACTTTGCCAGTGACAGGGTAATGTTACATAATCAAGTTTTACAGTTGGGGACCATGTCTGTGCACGTGGATCATCTGAAAAGCTGTGGAGGATTGAAGCCAAATGGACAAACAATAAATAAATAAATAAAAAATAAAACATACAACGTGAAAGGGCGTTGGATGTAAAATAATCAAATATGAGGCAAAAACATCAAAAACAGAAAAAGCTGCAGCATTCATTAAACATTAAATGTTAATAAAACAGTGGAAGTGTGGTTGAGACTATCTGCTCAGTCTGTATGAAGTCTAATTAGTTCCACGGAAATCAGGAGCTCTGTGATGACATCAACTCAGAGCCAGATGCTGCTTCTGCAAGGCTGTCAATTCATGTACTATACATTATTTTACTCTCCAGTTTGGTGTGTTTGAGAGAGCTCCTCATCACTGAACCGAAATCAAAAATCCAAGATGGCCGCCATAGATAAATGGGAAACAAATATTGAGCTGAAATTCAGTATGGTGTTATCCCGGAGAGAGATCATATTGAAAAAAAATCTGCACCAAGAGGAAAACCTTTTTTTTAGTTACTCCAGGAACTCAAAGATGGATGGTGTTTGTGTGTAAAACAGGATGTGTGAGGTGTTTATGTGCTCTGTGTTGTTGTGACAAGGGGGGTGGGCTCCACCATAAAAAAGACCAAGATCGGTGATTAGTAATAAGCTGTTTACTCGCTCCAACTGTCACCCCCCGTCCTCACCCAACCTGCTGCCATGTTTCAGTCTCAAACAGCTTCACTGCTCTTTTTTAAATTTAAAAATCATTTATAACATAGAGTATAAATCCCTGCTGCTTGTTTTCTTTATTTACCTTGTCCTTCTTTTATTTTTTTCATGCTGTATTTTTGTTTGGTATGATGATGTAAGGGGTCTAATATAGAAAAGTCCAAGGTCTATTGAGTAAAATGGCCTTTCTCTCACTCCATTAGCAGTAATGACTGCCAGTTGCTGTACAGCTTTCTGTAAAAACACACTGACTCCTGCTTTTCTTAGTTGTCGATGTCAGCAAGGTGAACTAAAAATAATTTGTTGTTTATGTAGCATTTTATATTTATCTTCTTTTTATGGCTGCACCTTTTAGGGAACGCTGCAGCGAATTAAAATTTAATATCTGATTATTTATTTGTTTCACATTTAAGAGATGTGCTCAGAATAATTGGTGGGCCAGATGGAAGTCACCCGTGGACCACCACTTTTTTTTACACATTGATAATCCACTTGCTTACATGCATGGATGTAGAATGCTGGCTGAAAAAAAAACACTCAGATTATGACAATCGGTGTGACAGTAGCTTTGTAATCTGGTGACAAACACCCAGACCTACTGTATTTCACACAGTGTTATGTCAGGGCAGGAGAATAATCTGACTGTTTTAACATGATAGGATAAAGAAGGTGGGGACCACAAAAAAAGCCAATTAGATTTTGTTCTGCTGTCAAAACATAAACACTTTGATAAATGATGTATCTTTACAAATTTGAAAGGATAAATGACACGTTGGTACACAGTTTATCTGACTTAAAATTAGAAAATTTATCACTCGCTGAACAAGTTATTTTTTTAAATTTGTTTATTTTTTCCTGGGATATTTTTTATTAAATGCAATAAAATATGACCATATGGAATTTAAAAATGATTTTCCTCTTGATTTTAATTAAAACACCTTCCACATTTTATGCTTGCATCTTGTTTACTGAAGTCTAGTCATAGACAAAGACTGTCACACAAATGCCAATGTGAGCCAAACCATTTAGTCCGTTGTGGCATAGCTGACAAAACGAACCAATAAAAAGTTCCCTTTAATGCTTCAGAGGAGGCGATGAGTTCGTGAATAAACTGCAGATTTACACAAGCATGAAAAAACAAGCCTACAGAAACCAATTTGCACATTTATTGTTGTTAGAAGCTTCAAAATTGACCTTTAAACAAACACTAATTGTATTTTCTGGATTTTATTACTACACTTTATAATAACACACTATGTGAAAGGCTTCATGTAGCTCATTCTAACTACAGTCACAGATTAACTGTTGCAAGACTTGAATATTCTGAAAAATCCTATTTATTTTGTACAATCAACATGATTTGGTTCTAAATCATAAAGGAATGATTTTGATTTTGTTTGATGGTTTGCAGGAGTTACAGCTGCACCTCTAGTTGCAGCTGGACTCTGCAGTATTACATGTATGCAGTCATTTGCATGCTTCAGTTTTAGAGTCTGTTTTAGTGTCTGAAATGAAAACCAGACAGCAGCAGATGACTAAGCATTTTTTGGTTTCTCTGCCTTGTCAGTGCATTGTTTTCTTGCATGTGTGTCTGTAGGTGTGTGGGTGTAATCCTGCGCCAACAATATTTCTTCAGTACATCAGGTCTTCCTCCTGGCTTAAAAGTCTCCTGGGTGTCTGGAACAGCTCTGCAGCGAGCACATTTAACTGAATCAAAGTTTAATTCAAGTCATTTCATCAACAAGCAAATTTGGTTTAGACTGAACTTAAACTTCTTCCCTTTTAATGCCATGCAAGCTAACACACAGTGGTGGGCAGCGCTAATCCAAAAATTAGCTCCACAATTTCTAAAGCGCTTATGAAAATATTTAGGTCCGCAACTTCAAAAACGCTTATGTTATAGAAAAATTAGCAGAAGCCAATTTTAAAGCACAAGTTCAATTTGACATTTAATAGCTGATAATTCATGTACTATATGCACAATACCGCTAACTAGCACTGTATGAACCCTTGTTCCCATCCCATTCCCCGACTGCCATTTGGGGAGGGGGTCCTGAAGAAGAGCGGGCTGCCGGGTGCGGTCCTGGGCTGTGGGTGGGCTCGGGGCTTGGACTGCTGCCGGAGGCGGGGTTGGCTCTCCGTCCTCCCTGGTGCTGCTTGGTCTCCTGAGGTGTGGCTCTTGGTTCCTGTGGGTGGTCCCCTGGCCGGGGTGGCTGCCGGGTTCCGGGGGGTGGACGGCTGGGGGGGGTGCACTTGGTTGTTGGCGGTGTGGTGGGGTGGTCATGGATGTGGCTTCTCTGCGGCGTGGGGCTGGCCGGGCGTCCTGATGCGGCCTGGGCCGGGCCTTGGCTATCTGCTCCTCTCCACCTCAGAATGATTGGATCTACCTCCTGGGTTCGGGTGTGTGCTGCCTCCAGTAGGGGGTGGGTGCATGTCCTGGACCTGGGGGGTATAGAGTGTGTATCAGGGGTATGAGTGGAATGTGGCGTCCTTGTATGTCTTTGATTGAGTGTGGGTGAGGATGAGGGTGGGATGGTGTGATTGTGTATGTTTGGGTATTTGTCAGGCTGCGGTCTGGGCTGCCCCTACTGCTGATTTATCTGGGGGCCCGCTGCTACTCGGCCCCCCAGTGGGGTGTACGGCTGACCGCCAGTGTGCTGAGGGTTCATGGGGTCTGGGGCTGGGCACTGGGGTATGTGCCGGCCTGGCCTGGTGA